TGTTTATTTCCTTCGTGAAGTAGTTGCTCTTGAGAAAAAATATATCATGGGTCTGTATCGCTCAACTGTTCACTGTAAGGGTCTCTAATAACATTACATGATCTTGTACCTTTGCAAGCTGTCCATTAATAGAAGGGCTTCTACCTCGATTGACATTAGCATCATTTCTACAACACTGTAGAAAACTTTAAGAACTTTATATACTGTGATGTTACATTCTGCTGCCTCCTCACTTACTGAGGAGAGGGGTTATTGGAGAAATATGTGGACTATCACAGCGTTTTCCTCGAGAGCTATTTTTTAGAGAAAGATTATTATTAGTTAAAAACCATAATTCATTAATAAATCTTGCTCCCGCCCACTTTTATCCCCAGAAAGACATCCTGAACAATGTACCCTCGGGGTAGGCATTGAGGCCTGCTTTGGTCATAGTATTACACAAGAGGGGGAAAAATCTGGTAGTCATTTAACAATATTTGGGGGATATTAATTATTCTCTGGGCCTTCTAGCTGGGGGGGAACAGTTTGGTTGATGCTCTTTGCTTTCATATTCTCTTTGGGCTTTTTGGTAAGTGGGCCTTTAATGGAGATTCTCTCCTAACATAATAAAGCAAGAATTGGTAACTTTACTTTCTTATTCTAGTGTATTATCCTACCCTTTTCCTATTTTTGCAGACCCACAGAGAAGTAGGAAAGATTTGGAAACAAGAAAGGGTTAATCTTGGGGGATAGTCTGAGATAAACCCAACTGAAGAAAACTGAGCTGATTGAACTTTGATGGGTTAAATCCAGCCATAACAAATTAGAGTGAGTGCCTTGGCTCTGTTGTAATTAGTAGGAGCTGGAGGGCTTGTAGGAGGCGACCTGGGATGGCAGGGAGACTCAACAGTCACCAGCTGGTGCTGAAAGGACCTGGGCTTGTAAATGCACAGTCCACTCATGAGCAACCTTCTCCTCCATTATCCCAAAGCCAGAAGGGAGATCACGCCAAGGTTTCCCTCTGCCGTGGATGTTTCCTTTTTAGCTCACTTACTTGTATAACATTTCTAGTAAAAAGTTTTAGTGAAATTTTTAGCCTTATTACTTCCTTGATTTCTACAGTAGGGGCAGCTCAGCTTTAAACAAAAACAAAACACTTGTGTGAATGGGCCTGTCAATGTTTTCTGTACTAGGTGCTAGGGTATAAACACCGAAGACAATCCATACTATTTTATTTAGACATTTATTTTAAAGCAAGTCTTAAGGACCTTTTGGTTTCCATACTTCAGTGATGTCTGTGTAATGACTACAAAATATCTTCCAGCATTTACAAGGTTGAATCATACTTGTTTTCGATCCGTGTCGTTTTTGAAAGAGTTCGCGTAGTATGTACTACAGAGTGTGAGTTTAGAGCACATCTGGGGTAGGAAAACTTACTCCACAGTAAACCAGCTGAACAAGACGCGAGCTGGTGACCGCTTGACAGGTTCCGCCCCCACCCTTCACCTCTGAGTCTTGGACCTGGGGTAAACACGTCCTTCACACCCTCGGTTAAAGCCCCTGGAGTGGCTGTTTGTCAGCTGAAAGGCAGTCCAGGGCGCCCTAGCACTACAGCTCACCAGGTGTTTTCACAAACTCTTCCAAAAGTTCGAAAAACTTTTGCTGTGCTCTGACTGTGAGATAGAAAGCAAATCAGTAACACAAAGTACTTTTGCACGCAACAGCCAAGCAGGCCGCAGGCTGAGATCCCTTAAGCGGGAAGTGCGGAGCGCCCCGTCGCGCCCAGACAGGGTCCTCCTCCGCTGTCCGGCCCGCGCCCCGCGGGACCCCGCACGCCCGCCGCGGCGGAGGCGGCTGCGCCGGACTCGGGGCGGCGCCGCGGCTGCCTGCTCCTGCCGGGGGCGGGGCGGCCGCGCCGGGCGCGGGCGGGGGGCGGAGCAGCCGCCGCGGCGCGAGCAGAAGCCGCGCGGGGAGCGCGTAGCGCCCGCGCCTCTCCCGCCCGGGACGGACTGAGCCGAGCTGGCGCTCGCGCCGGGTCAGTCCTGCCGTCGCCGGGTCCCGCGGCGCCCGGCCGGGCTGCGGACACTGGGCACCAGCTAGTCCGCTTCCCGCGGACTGCCCCTGCCGCGCCCGGGAGATGTCCGGCGGCCGGAGGAGGGGCAGCGCCCCCTGGCACAGCTTCTCCCGGTTCTTCGCTCCCCGAAGCCCTTCCCGGGACAAGGAAGAGGAAGAGGAGGAAAAGCCGGGGACGAGCCAGCCTCCCGCTGCCGGCCGGAGCGCTGCCAGGTGGGAGTCGCGGGGAGCGTCGGGGGCCTGCGCGGACTCGCGGGGCCGGGGCTCCTGGCGTGACCGCCGGCGGCGAGCGGCTCTCGGGCCAGGCTGCAGTTCGCTTGCCACTTTCTGTTCTCCTTCCTCCCTTGCTGAAGTTTCCCCTCCTCGCCCAGTCCCCAGTGCCGCATCGCTCCCCTGCCCTTGGTTAGCTAAGTCTGAGGGAAGTTCTAGCCCGCGGCCCGGCGCTCCCACCCCCCTCCGCGGACGGGAGTCCGTTCGCGACCCACACGCGCCGCCCCAGGTTGTGTGGAGAGCCGCTCCGGCGTCCTGCCGGCGGTGAGGGGAAACGCTTGCGAGCCGAGCGGAGCCGTGAGCCGGGGACGAGGGCGCGATCCCAAACGCACTGTGTGGGAGTAGGTGGGGCAACAGTGGAGAAGGTAGAGTTTGGGGCGTCCCCCCTCAGCTGGTATTTTGACTTGTAATTGAAAATTTCTCGAAATGATTTTTTAAAGAGAATTGTGATAATGAGTTCCCAACACTGCATCAGAATATAAAAATCCTCGCTAATTTTACGTACCAGGGACTGGACTTTTAAGTGATGACACCCTCATTCTGTCCCATCTCTCTTCAGAGACATATGCCCCAAGTCCCCAGAGTCTAGAAAGGAGGATTCCAGCTGTCTCGGTTTCCGTAACGAAGACGCGCCCTTTCTCCTTCCTTCACTTCTACAACTCCAAAAATCGGTTTTTTAGATGTGTCTCATTAAACTGCCTGTTCTTGAGTCTTTTCATCCATCCTAAAGGAGATAGAGGGGTTAAATGAAATGCAACTCGCTGTCTTAAATTTTTGACGAGACGAAAGGCTTACACTCCCTCCTCCTCAAATTGCACTAGTAGAGTGTGTTACCTGTCATTGGAACGACGCACTCCAGAAAGCAGTGTTTACTTCAGACTCAAGATTTCATGTTGGGCTTCAAAGAAAAAATGGATGGGAAACAGAACTGTGACTGAGTTCCATCGCTATTCAGGTTTTGTGGTGTGATTTTAATCACGTGTGTGTTCCTCAGTTTCCCTACTTGTGAAATAATTTCCATTATGACCATCTGTTAAGATAACCATATCTTTCCAAGAAAGCTCTTACTATAATTAACTGGTTATTCTCCTGGCACGTTTCAGCTATTATTGCCCTGACTGTTGAGAGTTTAAAATTCAAAGTTAACACAGTGGTTAAAAATAGTTTTGAAGTCTGACAGGTCTCAAGCAGGATGTCAGATAGTTCTGCTGGTGTGGACAGACAGCTTGAGATGCCTGCCATCATTGGAACAACACTAACAGTCTTGTATAATATGAAAGCAGTCTGTGAAAGAAATTCCAAGTAGACTCAGCAAAAGTTGGTAACTTGAGAGTCAGTGTTAGAATGGAGGAAGCAGGCCAATTTCAGATTCGTGTCAGTATTGTCCTGAAATCATGCCTGCCTCCCTGCCCTATTTTGGCTTTTTAAGACACTTCTCATTTCTAATTTCTTTACTGACTGCAGCTGACCACTCTAGCAGCTAGTTCCTTGTCTACTTGTCACTTCTCTGTTCTCATCATATCCAGATAGGCACCGACTGTGACTTTTTCACAATGAAAATTTTAATTATGCTTATATGAACACTAATTTTATCTTCATCTTTTTTGGAACTTGCCAGATGTTAAGGGGATAGCAGATAATCCTTTGTGTGGGTGTTTTACTGTTTTAAATGAGCTTAAATCTCTCATTTCAAGGATATAAACAAACACAAAGCTTTTATTGAAAGTTTAATGAAACAAATGGAAACGCTTAGTAGTACCGAATGTCCCAGTAACACTATACTCTGGTGTTAACAAGATTGGAAACAGAATTGCAATTTGTCACTGTGATCTTATTTCAAAATGAAAGGGTATTTTGGCTATTTCTCTCTGTGGCAGTAAAAACTTTTAGTCTTAATGAGAGCCAGATTTACCTTTTGTGGTGGTGGTTTTCGATTCAGAGAAGTCAGTTCAACAGCCAGACAGGCTTGGTGTGGTAGGGTTGTAAAGATGAGTGAGAAAAGGAGTCCTTTCTCTCAAGGGGCTATGAGAAACTGAGAAGACCACTTGAAAACAGTACTACTAGCACCTATCATGTGTCTGGCACTTTACAAAGTACCTTCAGTAATATTATTGACAAACCTATATTATCAATATCCCCACTTTACTGTAAAAAAAAAAATCAGTGTTAAAGAAACTTGCCCCAAATCACATAGCTACTTTTCACTCAGTGAACATGTATAAAGTCCCGCACTGTGCCTGCAGCTCTGAACATACAGAGATTATGTCAGCATACTGGTTTTTCGGTGTACTCGAATTGCATTCCCTCAAACTTGTGCTGTGCAGTCTCCTTTTCTGCACTCTTAGTGTTGATTTACATGAATTTTGTGAATTTACACACGTACAAATACAAAATGGGACATAAGTCTTTAAGAACAGAATTCCTTAACAATTTAAGAACAGAATTAAAAATTAAACAAACATAATTGGGAGACCAACAAAAGTTGAATTTACAGCATTATCCTGACAATTGTATTTTGGCTACTCACAAAATGTGTATGGTACCAACTGGGCCAAACACAGGATCCCTGGGGAGTGCCGTGACTGCACTACTCTGCCTCATGATACAGGTCTTCCAATATTTCCCTATTTTGAACCACAGGAAAACCTTTATTTTTATGGTATGCTGTGAGTTATGTGAGCTTCACTTGGTGTGAACACATCATTTATGTATTGAGTTTGCTGCTGTTCTGATCTCATTAACCTTCCATAATTAAAAAAGTTCTGTTAGCATCAACACTGTTGTATATTCAAACTCAGATGTGGGCACTCAAATTGCTTGATACCATTCATATCTTGTGTTGTTGACCAGTTCCAGGAAGTGCTTATATTAATTTATTTTGGATAATATAGAAACAAAAACTGCAGTTGAAGTTTTCGCGGGATACTTGAGAACTCCCAGAGGATCATTGCTGCATTGTTAAGCCCAGTTTATGAGCACACAGGTATGGATTCGTTAGAAATGATGGGGGAGACCAGGGAGGGCTTCATGGTAGAGGTGATTTAACTGGGCCTTCAAGGAATTGGTGATGTTTCTGTATGTAGAGAACTTATCCAGGAAGATGGGAATAGGAAACAGTTATTCTAGGCTGAGAAAAGGCCTGCAGGGGTTATGATATGTGAGGGACAGAGTGGAAGGGGCCATAAGAAAGTTAGATTGGAGCTGGGTCTCTAGACAAAATGTTTGACTGTTGATTTCAAGTTCAGAGAATTTTTGCAAAAGCCTGTTAAACAGATACTGCTGAAATGGAAACTTGAAGGGATATTTGCCTTCTTATTTTATCTGCTTTGAGACAGTGATTGCTCAACTTTGTTTCTTTGCTGTATCATGCATGATGGACCTGTTTAAAATGAGCTCTGTGCAATGTTTGTAACTCCTCAGAAGGGAGATAGTAAGGTAAGAACAGCATTTATCAAGGACTGAAAGTGCACTTACTCCTGGGCTGGGTACTTTTACTTACAGCATTTTATTTAAACTTCACACTCAGCCTGAAAGGCTGGTACACTTATCACCATCTGACAACTGAGAAAACTGAGGGTGAGAGAGTGCTTAGTGTTGGATGCTGCAGACATTTTCGGTGGAACAGTTCTTTGGACTGTTTCGTCCATTGCAAGACATTTGGCCATGACCCCACCCAATTAATTGCCAGTAGCATCCTCTGATCATTGGGATAACTTAAAATACCTCCACCCAGGTGGGCGGGGGAGAGAATGGTACCACTCCCAGTGGAGAATGATTTACCCCAAATCATGAGAGGAGTAAGTTTCAGGGATGAGGTTTGAACTTAGGTCTCTAACTGCCTCCAAAGCTCTGGTTCTTTTTTTCCACACCATCCTGTCTACCACCCTTCTGAATGCTCATCCTTCAAAACACTTTTGAATATGTAAGTCAACGGGACCATTCCTTATTTTGTTCCAGAATGGGTGACAGTGTGGCACATTTTAGGTATCTTTCTTTTGGCTGTTACTTAGAGTGACCCAATGTAGTGTCATTGATGGAAAGAAGGTAAGACAGGATCACTAGACCCAAGGTCAGCAGCTGGGTATTATTCATCTTTGTGTCCTCTTTTACCTAATTCAGATGAGGAGTGAATCTGTGTTTGTCGATTGAAATGTTAAACCTCTTAATAGTGACTTTCAGCTAGGGGTAGTACACTCCCCTCTAAATGGGCATTTAGAAACATGGGGGATTGTTTTTGCTTGTCATCATGGCTGAAAGTGTTGAGAGGTTGGGGCCAGTGTGATAATGGGCTGTAGTGTAGAAGCTACTCTCTCAGAAACTGTCAATAGTGCCTCTGAGGACAAGCATGAGAGCTGTTATCCTTCAGGTTAAACTATCAGTGTTGACCACAGCATCAATTATGTGAGGAAAGGGAGCTTTGTTCTCTGAATTTTCATGGTGGTTGTATTTTTACTGATTTGAAGCACTATTCAAGATAATTGGTAATTAGTTTGTTGAATAGGAGACTCCTGTGCCACACCAGCAGTTCATACTTGCAGTAGTAAAGATAACTGCCAAATTCTGAAAGTCCTCACGGGTATGTATTTTATCAGAATCTTGGGTTCCCAGGTTAACTCAAAGCAAGAACCTACTCTTGTTGGCAGAGTAGAAATATAAACTATTTTAGGATGTCAAAACCCTACCTTTTTCAAGTGATTTCCATCTCTTAGGTTTAACAGGGTGTCTACCAGATGGCTACTTTGGGAATTCTATTTCTTGCTGTGTACATTCCTTGGAAATTGACTCAAAATGGTACACTCTAAATGTGTTAGAGTTACAAGTGTACCACAAATTGACTTGCAATGAATTTATGTAATCAGAAGTTCAAACTTTATTGAAAAGTTACAATAACATTGTATACAATGTAACATTATGAACAATAATGACATTTTTAGGATTTTTAT